TTCCCCATTTTCTCCTTAGGCACATGAAACACCACCATGCACCCAAATGCCCTCAGCATGATCACAGCTGGAGCACTCCCATACCACTTGGTATATAGGATCAGGCAGCCCTGCACGCCCAAGGAGAGTGCGTGCCCCCTCCTGCAGGGTCCTGTTGAACCTCTCAGCTACGCCATTCTGCTGCGGGTTGTAGGGCACTGTCAGTTGATATTGGATCCCCTTCCTCTTCAACTCCCCCTCAAAATCAGCTCCAATGAACTCCCCACCATTGTCACTGCGGATCACCTTCACCTTGTGTCCTCATTCCCTCTGAGCTCTAGGCATCCACTCCTTAAGGACAGCCGCTGCCACCTCCCCCTTGCTCTTCAAAGGGTAAACCCTTACTGCTCGAGTGTGGTCATCCACAATTGTCAAGAAATAGCGGCTGCGTGAGAGGGAAGGGGCACTTGTGGGTCCCACCACATCCATGTGCACAAGTGCAAGTGGGGTATTGGCTGGTCCTGTAGTGCTGTTGAAGGGGAACTTGGAGAACTTGGTCTCCAAGCATGTAGGGCAGCTCCCAATCTCCTTCACTACCCTTGACCTCCAATCCTTGCACGCTCCCATCCTTCACCAACTTGCCTTGGAGGCAAGCTTCCCTGCTGTGTGAGAGCGGTTGGCGGGGTGTATGAGGACATCAGCCTTTGAGCCCCAGACGCGAAGGGGAGAAATATCGGGCTTGGAGGATGTCCAAAGCTCGGTAGGGGTAGTGGAAGGACGGAGGGGGTGGGGGTAGAGGTTAGTTAGGAGGGTCGCGTAAAGGAGGGCATAGCCCCAAAGAGAGGGCGGGCACGAGGCATGGACTAGGAGACATCGAGCAGTTTTAGTGATCTCCCGAATCCGAGCCTTGGCCAGACCTTTCTGCTCTGGGGAGTGTGGAAGGATATGGGCATGGCGAATGCCATGGGAAATGCAGTATGAGGAAAACTGCTGGTTTAGGAATTTGCAGCCTCCATCGGAGTGGAAGCGATGAACAGGGCGTTTAAAGTGTCTACGGGCCTGCTCTGCCCAAGCGATGATCGCAGCCGGAGCCTCGGCTTTCGTTCGAAGGAGAGAGACCGAGGTATACCGGGAGTGATCGTCGACGAGGACAAGAAGGTAGCGGTGACCCTGGCGGGTAGGGGAGGGGTTGGGTCCCCAGAGATCCATATGGACAAGGTCCAAGAGCTCAGGGCCATATGAGGGGTGGCTTTTATGAGGGAGTTGTTTCAGCTTAGCCTGAACACAAATGGTGCACGGAGGGGCAGGAGAGGGAGGGAGAGGGGGAAGGGTGAGTGGAAGGCCTTTGAGAAGGCCAGTGGCAACAGTGCATTGGAGGGTGGCAAAATTGGGATGCCCAAGGCGGTAGTGGAGGAGTAGGGCGGGATGGGAGAGATCCCGAAAGTGGCATTGGGATGGGGGGTGCTGGAGGAGAGGAGGGACTGGTGGGTGGGGGTTGAAGAGGAAAAAGTGTAGGGGGAGCGGAGGGGGGAAGAGAGACAGCCTGACACAGGGCGGGACGAGGAGTGCGAAGGGTGTACATACGAGAGGTAGGACATAAGGGGACACGGGTGATGAATCGATTGGAGGTGGATTGATACAAGTCATAGTGGGAAGCATGGCTGGGGTAGATCGTAGTCACCCCGGCACGTTGGAGGGCACCTTGGGAGACAAGGTTAGTACAAAGTGAGGGGATGTGAAAACCTGTGACGGAGCCAGAGGGAAAAAGCGGACAGGGGAGGGTGGAGGTGTGAGTGGTGGTGATGGAGAAACTGGAATCTGCCCCAAGGATGGTGGAGGGGGAGGTGAGGGGAGCAAGATGACCGGCGTCACGGAGGACTATGGCGCTTGCTCCACTGTCAATTACAAACTCAAGGAGAGGGGAGGAGTGGGTCCGGGAATACTGGAGAGAAGCCTCATTAATAGATTCGGGATACAGAATAGTGGGATCAGGCTGAGTAACATTACCTAAGAAATCAGCAGAGGGGAAGGGAGTGAAACCGGGAGGACCAGAGGGAGTCTGGGCAGTTGTGGCCGGCATAGCACTCGAAGCAGAGGATTGTTGAGATGGGGGAGGAGGAGCTGCTGCTGCTGTTGCTGCTGTTGCTTCTGTTGCTGCTGTTGCTGCTGCTGCTGCTCGTACTGCTGCAGGTACTGCTGCTGAAATGGCTGTTGCTGCTGGGGCGGCTGCAGCTGCCACTGGGGGTACTGTTGCTGCTGCTGGGTGTACTGCTGCTGCTGCTGTGGAGGGAGAAGGGATTGAACCTGCTGGAGGACTTGGGGGGAGAGGTGCTGTGCCAGGATCTGGCAAAGGGAGGACGGCTGATAGGCGGGAGAAGTGCGAACATCAAGAGTAGTTTGGAGGGAGTCATGGATGACCAGCAAGGTGGGATACCAGTGTTCCCCCAGTCAAACCATTCATCCATAAGTGCCTTGAAGCAGGTGGTTGTGGGATGAGTAGTTTGGAGGCAGCGCTGACCTTTGTTGGTGCCGTAACGAATGAGATACTGACATGGAGGGTAGTTACCCGTGCCCGGCCGCTGCCACCGCCGCGCCCACCACTGCGTCCGCCCCCGCGACCTCCTCGAGAGTGACCCGCCGTGCTGCCACCACGTCCGCCACCACGTCCACCATGTGCCTGTGCGGCATTCACGGTTGGGGGAGACTAGCGGAGGAGTTCCGCCTCAGTCTTTAGGATCCACGCGACGACATCGGTGGAGTCCGGCAGGTAGCGGGCATGGACTTCATCGAAGGCCACCTTGCGTATGTCAAACATCAGTGAGAGGCCGTCGAGGAGGCGGCACACGAGGAGGGAATCGGGAAGAGCTGAGCCGCGAGCAGCGAGGCGGCTGGCAGTGGAGGTGAGGCACCGGGTGAAAGCAAGCGCGTTGGGGCAGCTATCGAGTGTGATCTCGAGGAATGCATGATGGAGTGCGAGGAGGGAGTTTGTGTCCTGCCTGCAGGTCATAGGTGGCACAAAGCTCCTTCTAGAAAGAGGCACAGGAGGAGGGATTGATCTCGCATTTAAGGGAGGAAGGGACGCAAGCAATGAGGATGGAGAGGCATTTGCGGTCAGCCTGAACCCAAGCAGCATAGCGAGTGCGAAACTCACGAGAGTCTGCGGCATACTGAGCAGCGTCTTTGTCGTACTTGGAGATGAGTGCTTTGGCTTCGTCGTGGGCATTCTACTTCTCGGAGTAGGTATGTTGGAGAAGAGTGTAGTCGGCGAATTCTTTGTCGTACTTAGTGCGGAGGCGAGCCCTGCGGTCAGGATCAGTGTTGTACTCGCGGTGAGTGGGCTTGATGGGCTCAGGTCCTGAGGGGGGATCAAGGGGAGAGGGAGGGTGGGGGCCAAGCTTGGCAGGGGGGGAGGGGGCCTTTCCTGCCTCAGTGTCCTTCAGGATATCGAGGAGGCAGAAGTCGTTGATGATTGTGGAGCCGAGAACTGTGGTAATGCTTTGCGCGAATGAGTTCCGGTTGATAGGAACCAAGCCATTGACGTGTCCGAGTGCGACGATGGTGCTGATGTCAACCTCGAGCGAGTCCGTTGCCATGGTGGGTGGGAATCAGCTACCTGCAGCCAGCTACCAGCGACCGGGGACCGGCTTCCAGCGACGTGGGGGGAGGGGGAGGAGGAGAGAGGAAGGAGAAAAAGGACGGGTGCGCGAAGCGCAGCTCTTAAGTTGCCGCAGCCTTTTCTTTGCAGCCACATTCCTATCTCAACGTGGAACCTAATTTTCCAGTCTATCTTGTCCCATTCCTTCATCAAGCCTCCAATCTCTCCCTCTTTCTCTCTCTCTCCCCCCCTCTCTCTCTCTCTCTCTCTCTCTCTCTCTCTCTCTCTTTTTCTCTCTCTCTCCCTCTCTCTCCCTCTATCCCTCTCTCTCTCTCTCTCTCTCTCTCTCTCTCTCTCTCTCTCTCTCTCTCTCTCTCTCCCTCCCTCTCTCCCTCTCTCTCTCCCTCTCTCTCTCCCTCTCTCTCTCCCTATCTCTCCCTCTCCCTCTCTCTCCCTCTCTCTCCCTCTCTCTCCTCTCTCTCTCTCTCTCTCTCTCTCTCTCTCTCTCTCTCTCTCTCTCTCTCTCTCTCTCTCCCTCTCTCCCTCTCTCTCTCCCTCTCTCCCTCTCTCTCCCTCTCTCTCCTCTCTCTCTCTCTCTCTCTCTCTCTCTCTCTCTCTCTCTCTCTCTCTCTCTCTCTCTCTCTCTCTCTCTCTCTCTCTCTCTCTCTCTATGTATATATATATATATATATATATATATCAAGGTTGTTTTGTGTGCATCAACTGTTCGAAATCAGCGAGGTATAGAGCAAGTTAACACCAGGAGGTACGTGTAGTAAGATCACATCAGTCCCTACACATTCCACCTCCACCAATAGCATCCCATGCATTATCCACACACAATACCTGCAAACGAGGCTCGCATGGAAGCAATTCCACCAAGGGAACACCCACGTGAAATCAACCATTCCTCCACTGCTCGTTAAGAAGCCAAGGACGTCACGTTAACCTCTTGGGTCCTCCAAACAGGTTCTTAAAATACGTGTCGACAGGATTCTCAGGCGCTGCAAAGGACAAGGGAGCAAGCAGTCACAAAATTGGTAGTGAACAGGGTGTCATGCCATGTGATGAAGTGGGCCAAAGCTGAATGGAGTGATGGATGTGGGGTGTGTTTGCGTGGGCAGCACAACAGCATACCATCGATTTTCTGGCACCAAGCCAAGTATTTGTCCGCCCTGACGTAGCAGCTGGCCAATCTTTTGGCAGCCATCATCGACGCGCACCATTCCGTTTTGAAGTTCAGCTTCAAGACCTCTTCGCAATGCATAAATCCTGCAGCCCAAGAATGACAGGAAGTATGAGATGTGGAGTGGCACTAGTGATGAATCAAATCTGAGGGTTACTAATATGACACCATCCGATCATCTTGGCAGGGGAATGGGGATCGGGTATACTTACCATCCTGTGTCCACATAGGCGCCTTAGCCTCTGCCGTGGAAGCATATGACGAGAGGGCAATGGCAACGGCAAGCAGGAGAACGAGAGCAGTAAGTGAACCGAGACGGGCCATTGATAGTGGCAGGTAGTAGCACCAAACAAGAGGTCTTGAAAGTCTAGGTCTATGCAGCAACTGCAAAGTGAAGGAAGTGAGAAGATTGTTAGAATGGGTCCGGATAAGATTAGAGAGGATTTCAAAGCTACTAATAGTGCTGAGGGTGGCCCGGACTTATCTTCAGTAGTGCGGTGCATCATTGGTAAAGCCAAGGTTGACCATGGAACACGGAAGCCCGGCCATTGAACCTCAACGTGGTTCTTCATGGCGTCGAGCCAGGAACGCGTCCAAATGGTAAGCCAGATTTGACAGTCAAGCAACCTTTGACATTGGGTAGCCGATACGCACGTACACAAGCAATATGACATGAAAAACCAAGACACAAAACCACAATGCAAATGCACGCAAGTCAAACACGAAGATATAATGGGTATTAGAAAACATGACCAAAACTCAACTTCAAATATCTATCAATCAAATGGTGCCAACGGGATTGACCAGATTTGGAGTGAGAAGATTTGGAACGTGATGACTTGAACTTCGACGACTTGGAATGTTCTCGGAATGTGGTAACCGTGAACGTGATGACATGACTGGAGAGGATAACAGGGGGAGAAAATAAGAGGGAAGAACTTGACTCACTAGCAGCGAGAGATCAACTGGAGCGATTAGGTAGGAAGACAAAGGGGGGGAAACAAAGGGGGGACGACAAAGGGGGGAAACAAAGGGGGACGACAAAGGGGGGGAATGGTGGGGGGACAACAAAGGTGGAGGAACGGAGGGGGGACAACAAAGGGGGAGGAGCGGATGGGGGACAACAAAGGCGGAGGAACGGAGGGGGGACAACAAAGGGGGAGGGACGGAGGGGAAGACAAAGGGGGGGAACGGAGGGGGGACGACAAAGCAAGAGGGAAGGACGAGCAAAACCAAGAAGCACCAACAAACCCTAGCAGGGGTGTATTCGCTCTGCCCCAGAAAGCTAACCAAGTACAGGTCAGCACAGTTACTCGCTGTGCCTTTTCTCCACTTTTGATAGGTCAGCACAGTTACTACTCCAATACAGCAATACAACACTTGTTTTATATAAAACTACATTATTGCTGTAGTTTGTATTGTTACTCCTTTAAAATATATTCCCTTACAAAATCATTTTTCTAGTATTGACTCACAAAAATTGTAGTGCACAGTCCCACTGAAAAGAAAAAAAAAATGGGGGGGAAATGCGAATTTAAATTGTGTGAAAATGGAAAAGATGTGGACATACGCAACCCATCCGACGATTTACGTGGAGCCTTGTTGTTTTAGGCCCACCCTGCCCTTTCATGTCTCTGGCATCACGAAACAATGTCCCCGAAACCGGGTTGCGTTTTGGCCAAATTATGTCGACGCGGGCAAATCCTGACGGAAATGGTTCGGGATTCGAACGGTTTTAGGTGAAGTGGGGCGACTGAGTGCCATTTGTGCGTCGGTAGAATTTGCAACCGAAATTTTGACTCCAAAGTTTCATTTGGGCTCGGCGTGATGTCGGGTTGAATGTGCGCGACGCGAGCGGACGATGTGGGTGACAGTTGCGAGTCAGGGTCGAACCCGGAGCGTGTGCGAGACCCGAGTGTACTGCAAGAAGACCCCAGGCTAGAAAAAAAATTGCCTCGGGTCTTAGAGAAAATTGACGATGTATGCCTGGTAGCCGACAAATATAACCGCCTTAACTTCTTGCGAAAGATCGATGCCATTGCAATCTTGCGGATAGCTTGCTGTATTGTCGCATTTCGTTTTTCCAACTAATTGCGACTGTTTCGCTGCTGATCCATCAAAAACACTAAACCCGCAGTTAGGATGTGACAACCCGCGGCTCCTTTGACCGCGGTCTGCCTCGGGTCTGACGCTCGCCCCTGAATCATCCCTAAAACTCACAATAGTTTTTATATTACATTGGGTAACTGATTAATCTCAATTGTAAGGAATTACAATTCCTTACTGCTCTAGATTACAGCACGTACACCCGAAGACCTCACAGGTTCGGCCTCGATTGTCGGCCCAAACCTTCCCGAGCAGCGTTCCAACACCCTTGCCACCCTTCCAAGCCACATCACATCTCGAGGTTCTTGCCCTAGCACGTACGAGCCCTACTTTAGCCAGTTCGCTCGTCACTTGCTCAATCAATTATTACTCCTAGGTTGTTCTTCCATTACTCTGTCGATTGTTCCATTCCCACTCAAAACACTTGGTATTCAGAGCCACTTTCCTGGCGCAGTAGCTTCCGCCTGCCCGAGAATTTTTCTCGGGGCGGGAGGGAGGGATGGCTGGTGGGCTGCGGGGCTGCACAACAGTTGGCTCGGAGCTAATTTGTTAGCTCGTCCGACTAAGGCGTGTGCGCTCCCTTCGTCACTAGACCCCTGCCTTTGGACGGCCAGGATTTGGTCCTCCCTCCCCCAATGAACGGACAGATGTGGCTGTCACGGAATTTATTCACTACGTGATTTGGTGAATAGTGCATTTTACTTCGGTGGTTATTGTGTGAAAAACACGCGTCGTCGGCAGCACCTGACAAGATTCTGAAGCGAGTTCGTCGGGTGGCTGCGACAACGGTTGAAAAAAAAAAAACACACACACACAAGAAAAACGAGCCTTCCTGGGGGGCTGAGTCTTCCTTCTCCCCCTTCCTTCCTCCTCTGCTGCAGGGACTTGGATGCTCTCATGGCATTGCTGCAAATCTGGTCGGTTCCCGCGAGCACTTGTAGCATAAGGCGGAAGTGATGGTGCACGCTCATCACCTTGCTGCACCTCCTCCTCCTCTTCTCCCCCATTCATTTGAGGAGATTGCCTCGTGACTGTGCTGCTGCTACTCAGCTCCAAGGGCAGCTCCACATGCTCCAAGCCGGTACTCTTCACCTCTCCAAGCCGCACACCAATCTTCGCTTGGTTCTCCGCCTTCCACTCCTTGTAAGGTAAGTTTACCATGAACTTGCAATCTCTGCTCACCAAGAAATTCTTGGTAAATGGGTCCCAAAGAAGCCATCCCATGTTGCCTTGGCATCAAGCTTGTTGTGCCGAAGTTTCTTAGGCACAAGTGCCATGCACATGCACCCGAACACCCGAAGCATATCCACCTTCGGCTTCCTTCCAATCCACTCCACATAGGGCACCCATTTGTCTTCTCCCACATGAGTCAAGGCTCTGTTCTTGGCCACACAAGCATGCCGCACCGCATCCGGCCAAAAGTAATTGGGAAGACCGGCTTCAAAGAGAAGTCCCTGAGCCGTCTCCGTGAGTGTCCGATTCGCACGCTTGGCGATGCCGTTCATTGCAGGAGAGTAGGGCATGGTAAGAGAGTGTATTATGCCCTGCTTCTTCAGCCAAGTTGAGAAGTCCTTGCTCAGGAACTCTCTCCCACGGTCTGTGCGAATCGCCTTCACAAGCCAGTCTTGTTGCCGTTCCACCATCGGCAACCAATCGGTGTTCACCGTCTCAGCTACATCACTCGTCTTGGGCAGCACATACACCCAGGTCATGCGAGTGTAGACATCCACAATGGTGAGGAAGTACTCAGCTCCAGCAGCTCCAAGCTTCAAGGGGCCCACCACATCCATCACCACCTCATCACATGGTGCCTTCACCGTTGTCTCCGAGCTACGGAACGGGTAGCGGGTGAACTTGGCTTGCATGCATGTTGGATAGCCAAGCACCTCATTGGGCTCCCCCTTAACACGTATCCCACCGACCATCTCTTGCTTAACAATCTGCTGCAAAATGGGCAATGCCACATGCCCCATTCGCCGATGCAAGGTCAGCCAATCACACTCTCCCGTAGCGGAAGTTGGGTTGGAGAAAGCGGCACTCGCAATTGTGCCCCACAAGCTCTCTCCTTACTCCTTTGCCGATGCTTTTTTTGCTGATATTAGCCTTCTCCTCCTCATTTCCACCATCTTTGGCTAATGCACCACTCTCCTTAGGTTCACACGCCTTGCTAGTCCCTCCAAGATCGCAGTCCTTCGAGTCACTCTTGGTGTCACTTTGCTTTCTATGATCACCGCCACCAACCGCTTCACTCTTGGTGCTGACGCTTGCTGCCACTTGCCTCTCTTTAGGCATAGGGACCACTGGGATTTGCCACATCTCATTGTAGATGTCCCTGTCCTCATGAAGGTCCCAAAGCTTCCGTTCTCCAAGCCTCGCGGTATAGGTTTTGGATCCCTTGGAAGATGTGTCCATGCCGGCCTTTTTGCAAACGCCGCACGGAAATCAGGTTAGCTGCAAGGTTGGGCACCCAAAGCACGTTCTTGAGGCCCACCATCTTCCTATCAGCACCCTTGAACATGGCCTTGCCCATGCATTTCACCTCTGCTCGCTGCCCCAAAGCCGATGTAACATGCTTGACCGGCGACGGTTCGAGCTCGGTGAGCAAGTCCGCACGAGGTGTCATGCTATAGGTGGCGCCGCTGTCGATCACCCAAAAGTCCAGAGAGTGAAAGGTGACCTTTCCCACAGTAGCTGGCTCCTCAAAGCCTTCCACAGTTCGCGCTGCTGCTGCCGCTTGCGTGGAGACAAAGAAGAATTGGCCCGGGTATCGATCTTCACTCGGGCCCGCCGTCTCGTAGTCTCCACCTTTCATGCTTGCTGCTTCGCTTCTACGACCACCACGGCCTTCACGACCTCTGCCTCTTCCTCCCCTTGCTCCTCTGCCTTCTTGGCCTTGAGAAGGGGTCCAACTATTAGGCAGTTTGAAGCAATCTCTCCACATGTGGCCGGTCTTGTGGGAAAAGTGGCATTCGCCATCAAATCGACCGCGCCCACACCCGTAGCCATTGTTGTTGTTGTTGCTGCCATATCCTCCATTACCACGGCCTCCATTGAGGTAGCTGCTTCCAAATCTACCTCCTTGCCCTCTGCCCCTTCCATGGCCGTGCCCACGGCCCATGCTTGCAACTCCGGCA